TCAAATAAATAAATAAAATCTTTAAAAAAAAATTAGTCAATATAATTTAGCATAACTAACAAAACCATAAGATCACCTAATGCAAGAAGAAAAAGCATTTGGCAAAATCCAACATACATTTCTAATAACAACTTTAAGCAACCTAGGAATAGAAGGGAACTTGCTCACCTTGAAAAAGGGCACTTAAAAAATTTACAGTTAAAATTATTAATGGTGGATGATGGAATGTTTTCCCCTTAAGATCAAGAACAAGACAAAAATGTTTGTTCTTAAACACTGTACTGGACACTTTAGCCAGTGCAATAAGGCAAACAAAAGAAATAAATAAAAGGTATCAAGTGCTAACTCTGGCAGCACATACACTAAAATTGGAATAATACAGAGAAGATTAGCATGGCCCTTGCACAAGGATGATAAGCAAATTCGTGAAATGTTTCACATTTTTAAAAAAAGGCATCAAGATGGAGAAAGAAGTAGAACTGTCTTTATTTGCAGATGGTATGACTGTCTAAGTCTATGGTTCTCAATAGTGGATAATTTTGCTCTGCCCCCACAGCACTAGGACATTTGGCAATGTCTGGCAATTTTTGGTTTTCACAACTGGGGCAGAGGGTGCTACTGGCATTTAGTGAGTAGAATGAGGGATGCTGCTAAAAATCTTACAATGTCTATAATCTCAGATTGAGAAATTACTGGTCTTTGTAAAATAGCCTATGGAATCTAGAAAAAAGTTACTAGAACTAGGAAGTGACTTTAGTAAAGTTGCAGGATACAAGATCACTACCCAAAAATCAATTGAATTTCCATACTATATACACACCATACTGTGTGTATATATAGCAACTGTATGTACCACCAACAGTTAGAAATTGATATTAAAAATAGCTTTCACCATACCATGAAATATGTGTAGCAACTGATAAAAGTATAAGACCTGCACACTGAAAAATGACAAAACAATGCCAAAAATAGTAGTAAAAGAAACCTACAAAAATGGATAGAAAGTGTTCATGGGTCAGGAGATTCAATATTGTTAACAGCTCTAAGAAAATTTTCTGTGGAAAATTCCAGCAGGCTTTTCTTTTTTTTTTCTTTTTCTTTCTTTTTTTTTTTTTTTTTAAAGATTTTATTTATTTAT